TCCAGCAGTGCTACAAGGATACACAGGTGACCCTAATGAAGTACGACCTGGTTATAAGCTAAGAGCCTCACCTGTACACATTACATTCTCCACTGGGTATGTACCTCCTGGCTTCTTCACTCGTTTAGCAACTGCTGTTGCTACTGATGCCAGTGTCAAGCTCAACTTTGAAAATGATTATGCTTATGCAGTACCTGCTACCGGTTTCTTTGATCGAATACTGCATCGAACCTCCAAAGTTGAAATAAAAAGTATCTATCGTAATCGTGTCTGCTTCTCTTATGGTCGTCCTTCTGATGATTTTGTTCTCACTGATATTAATGAAGCTATTCAAGTTGATGTGTTGCGATATGCCCCTGAGAGTAGTCATCCTGTTTCTCTCAAATTAGTTTGTCAAAAAATATTGAAGATGCTAGATGAATGCTGTCAACAAGTAGAAGACACCCTCAGTCATTACCATGGGCACCATCCCAATCGATCATCAAGGCAAGTGCAATATGTGTGTCAATGCAGTCCTTCTAGTGATGTCCATTACATTAATGACATTGATGCTATGCAGCAGACAAGCTCTGATTATGTTTACTGCAAATTGGATAGACGCTCTCGTCACCTAAACAATGAAGAATCAATGTGGTTTAAAGACAATATGTCACAAGAAAAACAACTCCAAGAGGTATTCAATTTATTAGTAACAGTAATATAATTTATTGTACTGTTATAATTCAGATTCCACCTTTGAAAGAGATTATCATTAAAGATGATCGTAGTAAGATTAGCTAATTCATATCACTCTAAGCTATATTGTTTCACATTTTTACTCTAAACAGAGCCGACAATTCAAAAAACTGACTCAACTACAAATTACTCTGCCACTCCGATTAGTGAGTCCAATGATGATCAACATAAAGGTATAAGCACTCACTGTCACTAGTTTCATATTTTCTATTTATAGTTATATTGAATATCAAGAATCTAGTAGATATCATACAAGTGTTAAAAACAAGTTCCTTTCAAACTATCAAATGGTTTGATCTTGGTCTCTACTTGGGTCTGATTCATTATGATCTCAAGGTTATTGAGACTAACTATCCACAAGATGCTGAGCGATGTCTCAAAGAATGTTTAGCAAAATGGCTTACAGATGATATTGAAGCAAAATGGGAGACACTAGCTATTGCTGCTGATACAATAGGAGAAAAACGAGTTGCTGAATATATAAATGAAATTATAATTAATAATAAATGAATTATTAATGATTAATAGGATCAAGAAAAGAACTTTAACAAATGACAGTAGTGTTAACCATTTGAATAATTAAAATGTTTTGTAATTATTAGTGGTTTCTATTCTTTTTTAGCTGTTATTTGCATCACATTAGTATACATAATTTTTTATTAAGTAATTGTTTGCTCTTTTAGTTGTTTTGTTTCTTTCAAGCTATTAATGGATGCTATTTAGCACAATGCTGG